AAATGAAGGGGGCGCTAGTGACACTATTTTCTATCGAACACTTTCAACATTWAAAATACAAATTTAACATTTCCCGTACCGGTTAGGGTTAGGGTCWAACTTCTTTCTTTCTTCTTCCTTTCCTCATTTGTTGACTATGAGTTTTCCATTGCAGCGAAGTGTACTTGAACGTGATTAGAAGAAACTCTCTAACTTCTTCCTTTCTTCTTCCTTTGCTCTCTTAATCCCGCGTCTTTAAGGAGCAACCTTCATTTCCGGAATGCAATAGTCCCATTTCCATATAAGGTATGGGACTGACGGAAAGGTCCGTCCCCGCCCCGTTCTGCATGCTGCAGCGAAGTGTACCTCAACACAGCCCCAATGATCTATTATTATTATTGTTATTATTGTTGTTATTGTTGTTGTTGTTGTTGTTGTTGTTGTTGTTGTTGTTGTTGTTGTTGTTGTTCTATAATATAAATCATTGTCACAGTGTTCAGGACAGAATGAAAGGCGGACAGATGAAGCCCCGCCCACTGAACGTCCAGCAGAAACAGGAAAACGAACGTGTGTTTAGAGCACCGCACACTCTGGGAGGAGGAAAAAGGCCGCGCAGCGAGGCAGTGATTGACAGCTGAATGTCCGATCAGCTCATCATCGTGAAAATTTAACAAGCAGCTCCTGTCGAACCGGATCTAAACTTCAAACAAGAACTGAACTTTTTTATTCCTGATCTCAACTGGTGATCTTGTGAGCAGAGCGGCGGCAGAGCAGGTTTTTTTCCTGTCGATGCACTCCACCTCTGCTGTCCGGGGCCGGTGTGGGACAGAGACCAGCCGAGGCTGCAGTAAAGAGCTTCGTGTCCTGACCAGGGCTGCAACGATTAATCGATTAATCAACGACTCATCGATTATTAAAATAATTGATGACTAATTTAATAATCGATTTATCGTTTTCTTTTTTCGTTCTTTACTTAGTTTTTCTCTCCAAACTGCTTTGACACCTTCCACTGCCACATCTGCCTTTCTGTCGTTGACACACATGCACAGTAGTGGTAACTGGGGTAGGCCGTGGACGTCACAAGACATTATAC